ATGAAATTACTATCCTTTTCACTCGGGTCGAGAAATAGACGTAAACAACTGATGTGAAAAGGTATTTATGTGATTGAAAATATTATTTTATTGAAAAATGTTTTGTTGATAATGAAATTTGAGTTACTGTAGAAAATGAGAATCTGTACCAAATAGACCCTCAAATATTTTATATTTTTTTGGTATTTCTATTAGTTATTTATCTAAATGAGGTGACTTAGTTTTTTATATTTTTTAATTATTGTTATTATATGAAGGAGGGAAGGGGATGAGAATGATCGAATTTTCACATGGAACTTTCTAGTGCTTTAGATTGAAGTGCATCTGTTTGAGCTACCTTATTGTAGAATGAGAATGAAAAATATAGTTATTATTGGGACCCACACAAGAAATAGAAAATTCGAATTTAAATGTTGAAGTGATGAATAACGGTAATATTTTTTATTTTAATGAGATAATAAGAGCTTTGCAATTAGTTTACGTTAATAAAAAGAGGAAAAGTGATAATTATATATAGCAAGTGGCAATTGACTGGTTCCTTGAGAGTAACGTGCAAGATATGTTATCATGTATAATTGGACCCACTCCAGGCTGTAGACAGGCTTCTTCAAAGGCATTGGGGGCTCCATTACCTGTTCACGTAACTAATCGATTTGATTAAGAGTTGGAGTTGTGGGTCCTACAACTGTGATTTGATCAAAAGTAGGCTAAATAAGTATAGATTTGAATGCTATCGAGTAATATTTATTCACATCTACCTTTAAATGTACGTCTTTATAGCTTAAAGCGGTAGGTCGTGTATTGCATTAAACGGAAAAATAATAATAATGAAAGATAAATTAAGGGTCCATTTGATACGACTGTTATGAGTGGAGACTGTTATTAATAGAGATTGACCAAAAAACTAATCGATTTTTTTAATCAATAAAAAAGATTTCGATTATTACATTGATTATTTGACGAGCGTAACTAGAAAAGTACTCGTAATTATAATTTTTTAACTAATATTATTTCTTTATGATATAAAATCTTTAACTTAAGCCCTGGTTTGGCTCAACTTAAATATTTGATTAAAATCGAAGTCAATAATTGATTTTAACTACACATTTTATGAGATCCACAACTTTTTGATCACACAGTGTACTAACTTTTATCAAAAATTTCTATAAGATAATAAGTAAAACTAATGTAGAGCTTCCAATTGGAGCTTCTCTTAAGCAGTTTCTCTTATTGCCCTATTGTTTATTTGCGTACTTGGCTAAAAGGCCTTCATAGGAAAGTAGAATATTCAAAGTGAATAATTATAAGGGATAAGTGGAGCAAAGGCCTCAAACCTTTCAAACACTAGCAGACTTTCCTCAAATCCTTGATTTGTTGCAATCGTCACCCATAATTTTTTCAAACATTGCATGTGGGGCCTCAATGGATGGAAAACATCCAACTTAACGGTAATTGACTAAAAAATTGAATTTGACCACATTTTTAACATTTTATAAAGGGATAATTGCAGCTACGGTTCCAAACCTTTCAAATTTTTGCGCACTTTACCTTAACATTTGATTTGTGCCAGCCACAGTCCCAAACCTTTCAAAAATATGCAGCAGAGGTCCAAATGGACGGATTCCGTCCGTTTGACCGTTAGTCAACCAAGAATAGTAAAGTTTGACCAATTTTGACAATTTTCGAATGGGCAGAGTGGTAAATTGACAATTAAAATATTAA